GTCTTTCAGAGAAAACAATAGCAGCCTTCAGTGCTTAAGGTGGAGGTGCTGTGGATCAGCTGCCCAAACCATCCCACACACAAAGTGAATGTCATGGTTCTGAAATGTTACATCCAGTGGCAGGTGTCAGATGCCAAACCACAACCCTGCTCGTGCATTTACAAACTGGGAGTGAACAATGTTTAAGCCATGAGTAGTGTCTTACTTAGACACATTTGTCAGCTGTAAAAGATGACTCAGGCTCATTAGCCCCCTTCTCCTTAAGTCTCCTCTAGAAAAATTTCCCCCATTGTTCAGTAAAATTCCTTTAAAGGAGACTGAGATGGATGAAGGGAAGGATAATTCCAGAAATCCTAACTTAAGCCTTTGTTTGTATTAATTCACACAACATTCACCTTCACTATTGGCATCCAGCAATTCAAATACAGCTACTTTCGAAAAGGGATTTTGGAGATGAGATTTCTGGAGGATTTCAGCAGTTGAATATTAACCTAACACTGGAGCTGGGGAGATGGAGGAAGAAAGGTCTGAGTGAAACAATACTCTTGTTCCAGTTCCACTTCATGCACTGTTAGAATGCAGGTAGGACAGAAACCTCACTCTGTTTTGGCAAGATTAGTGAAACTACAGGATCCACTGTGTGGCCAAACTGGGGGGGTGGAGGGGAATTCCTATCAAAATATAACAAGCAAAATAAGTACAGTTTAAGCAATAGATTTCCTAGTTAGCATTCACACAGCCTTACCTTCAGTAACATTTCCAAGTAGATGACTCTACTGTTTACAGTGTGACAAGAGTGTTTGTCAGTGAGAAGTCATGCCAGAAGTTCAGAGATCTCTCCACGGTTGAAAGAAAAAGAATCAGAGGTAACAGCCAGCTTCAGGCAGAGACTATTGCAAACGTGCTTCAGGAAGCAAGTGCCTCTGTGGAGCAGTTATTAATGCATCTCAAGAGAAGGCACAGCTATTAGTGAGAAAAAAAGTTACTCCTACCCTGAAGGGGGACTAAAGAAGAAACCCAAAGAACTCAAACCACACAAGTCCTTTTCCAAAGCAGAAGAGCAGCTAAGGAAAATTGTCACAGCTGTTGAACTAATAATGTTTGAAACTTTTTTTTCCATACACCTCATCCTCTACAGGATGTGCTATTGTTCTCAAAATTCCTAGAACAATTTTTTAGAGAGAAGGAAAAGAAAAAGAGAGAGGACTTCAGTGTGGTTCAGCAACAGAAAGCCACTTAATACTATTTATGGTAATGAACACCAAGAACTTTAATTAAAATAAGGTGAGCTAAATGGAGTGTATAAATGATAACGAGAAAATTTTAAAAATGAGGTAGGATATTATCAGGAAGTGATAATTAATACCAAAGAACAGCACATAAGGAGATGCCTGTAACAGCCATTTATCCATTCAGTCTGGCAGAGCAAATTCATTCCAGCTGCTGAATTAACTGAGGACCAAAGAATAAAGTCAGAAATAAGTCTTACACAAAGAATAACTTCAGCTAACATTTCAGTGCATAGTTTCAGAGACAAAGATTTAAAACATTTAATCAGTATGGTATTCCTTGTCTTTCAGCTGGCTGAAAGTAATTAGTTGCAACTTACTATTTTAGGGGGTATTTAACAGGAAAGGTAGAATTCCATTTTACTAACTTTCTGTCCTTACATGGGATGAGGGTGTGATCTTGTGATCTACAGAGTCTCCACAAACTCATTCAGCACAGAAGTGCTACAAAGGAAACCACTGGGTTGAATTCAAGCTGTTGTATGGTTTAGCAGCTATAAATAATCTGGTTTGCTACTACTCAAGTGCTTTAAAAAGCCTGTCAGAGGACACTGACCAGACTGTTGATTGTTTGCTCAAGTTGAGCTTTTTCTTGACACATCAGAAATAAAATTCCTAAACCCCAGTTCAATGGAAACTTAAAGTAAAAAAAAAAAAAAAAAGAGAGTAATATACACTGATTGAAATCCTGCAAATGAGGAAGGATTGCTGATGTAAGCTCATCCCTGACAGACTGAGCAAGACTCCCACAAGTGTGGGAAGCAGATGACTCACTCTGCTGTGCATTGAGTTCTGCAGGAGTGCTGAGGAGCAAACATGCTCAGGACCTCATGGTTTAGACTCTATCCTTGAAGTTTTAAAGCTTCTTCCACCTCATCCTATGAGACTGACACTCTGGAACCAGTATCTACTTGAGGGAAGACCAAGAAGCATGTATCAAGAGTAAATAATATATATTGCTGTCTTCCAGAGTGGCAAGGTATTGTTGTGCCACCCGTGTCTAATAAAAGAAGTTATCAGACTGCTCCTCCCCATTTTGCCACACAGGAAGTTATCTCAAGCTCTAGCAGCCATGACTGAACAAATTGAGCTTAGACTATTTTAAGAGCAGCAAAACCTTAGTGTTTTCATGCACAATCACAGCTGGCCTGTCTCACAATCTGTAGGCCTCAGGCACAGGGCAGTCCCACCTCAGCAAGCAGGAGTGTAGCTCTGTTCTTTGATGAGGTTAGAGACAGTCCCACTCCCTGCAGAATGGCCTTTTGTCCACTCCTGCTGGGGACTCAGCACTGAGACACACAGAAGGTCAGGAGGCTTGTGAGCTTCTAGAAGTGCTGCAGCATGTTTTCAGGAGCTGCTTATAGAAACTAACACAGCAGTGTAAAGTTTAGTTTGTATGAACAAGACCAGAACTGGAGTCAAGAGTCAAAGCTCTCATCTACAATGAGCTAAACATACCAAGGAAGTCTCTCCTCCTATAAGCTAGGTGAAAATCCTGAGAGGAACTTTGCCCTTTCAGTCCTGCTTAGTCTAAAATGTGTGTTGTAAACCAGTTACCTAGTGGCCTTGAATACAAAGCAGAGTTCAGCAGCTATTACAATCCAGCACTATAGTTTGGCACAGAGTAAGGAAAAAAAAAAAAAGTTTCTATCCCAACAGCCCCCACACCCATCAGAAGGAACTGACTGGAAAACAGCATTACTGTAGCTAAGCCTGAAGCCATTCCC